GCTCCGCGCACTCCGCACCTCAGAATTTGCCTTCAGCACTGCGCCTCCTCTGAATGTCCGAATGCGTTACTCTTTCCTCCTAGTTGTAGGACTTCCACTCAGCCACCGTTCCTGTGGTTCTGGATGATGTCCCTTCCGTCTTTTAGTTTCACTTTTGAAATGGTTGTTCGAGGCGGCAAACTCCGGCGTTAACCTATGCCGCCATCTTGGTTCTCCGGGACAGAACTTAACTGTGCGCTATGACCAGTTCTGGAGTCTACGGTATATCATGGTTTGGAAGTTGGATGAGATTGGTGGAGTTGTCATGCCCACCCACCACCCCTCCATGATAACTGTGATATCAATTGGTGATATTTGAGCCTTAGACTTGAAAAGTATCTCTCTCAACCACCATCTAGGTGGAAGAAAGATAAAGCCAACTGCAGACTGAGCTACACTTTTTTCTTTTTTTTTAATGAAAAAGTCAACATATACCAAAATAGAATAATATAATAAACCCCCATAACATTTTTCAAGTTTTTACTACCTTTTGAATTGCATTTTCAACTTCAGCAGGCCTCATAAGTGATGAGCGTTTCCCAGAGATATCCCAGTCTTCCTAAGCTGCTTCCACTCCTCAGTGACCTCTCCCAGACTCCATTCCTCAACCTGACCCTTAATCTTATAGATGGCCTGCTGGTTATCTTACTTTCTGTCTCTGGCCATCCTTCAGGGGCTGCAGAAAAGAGCTGTAAACATGGAGCTGAGGACCGGACCCAGAACATTATCATGGCCATGAAGGACCGCATGAAGATCCGAGAGCGTAATAAGCCTGAGATCTTTGAAGTTATCCGGGATGTCTTCACTGTGAGCAAAGTTGCCCATGTGCAACAGATGAAAACAGTGAAGCAGAGTGTACTGGATGGCACCTCCAAATGGTCGGCCAAGATTACTATCACTGGTGAGTAGGCCTAAGTATAAGGAGACAGAAAGCACTAGGCTATGGAGAGGAGACTAGGGAAGAAGTCACCTGAGTGTGAAGGAGCCAAAGGGCTGGGAAGAAAGAAGACAGAACTGAGGGAAAGAAAGAGGGCCTCATTATTTATCACTCCTCCTCTCCTAGGAGGCTGGGAGAGGTAAGACTGGCACCTGCAAACAATATGAGTGATAACTGAAGGATTTGGTAATAATCTGATATTATGGACTTGATTGACAATCTGATAATACAAGAGCTGGGGGTGGAGGAGAAGGGACTGGTAGGAGATCAGGAAATAGTTATCCAGGGACTAATTATATTAGCTAGGTGGATGTGGCTGAAGGATGCATCTATCAGAGACGGTAAGGAACAGGTTAGGGGTAAGTGGTCAGTTAGGGTTTTGATGGGGAGCTGAGATTCTTGAACTAGGCTTGAAGGAAAGACTGGTGGCTTGGGATAAAAGGTAGATCTGGAGGAGTTCCTGTGCAAGAAGCAGAGAGAGGCTTTTCTAAGATGGAGAATGTATGAGCCACGCTTTGGAGGATTTCTGACTTCTGGAGCATACTTTGAAGTCTCCTCTATGTATTTGGGTTGCAGTGGTGTGTGCTCAGGGCCTGCAAGCCAAGGACAAGACAGGATCCAGTGACCCTTATGTGACTGTGCAAGTGGGTAAAACCAAGAAGCGTACCAAGACCATTTTTGGGAATCTGAATCCTGTTTGGGAGGAGAAGTTCCATTTGTAAGTCACAGAGGTCTTTGTCTTACCTGGTACTATGTGTATTTGGGAGCAACATTAAATCCTGTTATTCTGGGTTTGGCCCCTAAGAGGGATAGGGCAGAGACAGTGGAGAAAACCCATTTCTCACATGCCATTTTTTTCTGGTTTTCTTCTCATGGACTGTTGTATCAGGGTTACTTTACCCAAACCCTATCTTAACTAGGGTTATTAACGGGGATCCTGGGCACTTCATACTGCTTTTTCTAGCATTAGAAAGATTTTACTACTGCTTAGTTACAGGACCAGGGACTGACTACCCTATTGTGTACCTCCCAGCACTGCCACCATGCCTGGGAAAGGTTAGGCTATTCTGGGAAATGGGGAAGAAATGTCCTTGTCCTACAACTGGGTATTTCTGGCTTGAAGGAAGAAATAAGCAGTCTGGAGGAGTTTCCATTTCACCTAAAAGGGCTCTGCTTTTCTTTCTGCCTCAGCTCCCCCCATTCCCACCCCAACTCCCAACCCCACCAGTTCTTTTCCTATTATCTCACTTTATTAGACTACTTTATAAGATAGTAAGAGATGGTTGTTGAAAGCTCTAGTCTGGGATTTGGACTAATGTCTGGAGAATTGAGATGCTTTGTCACACCCCTAAGGCCCAAGACCAGGACTTGAAGGCTGGATGAGCTAAGCAGGCTGGCCATATAGAGACCTTCTGTTGGCTCCTTGGAGAACTCATGTGAAAAGGGACTGACTGGGACCTAGAAAAATCACTCTCCAATCCAGAGGCAGTAGTTACTAGGGGATCGCTTGGTTCTTTGAGAATCTGAATGGTTCTTGCTTGACTCCTTCTTATGATTTATTCTAAATGAATTGACTCTGTTGTCAATTTTCCCACTTTTATCCATTTAGTAAACTATTCATCAAGCCCCTATTCTGTACAAGACACTGTACATGATGTTTTGTATCTAAAAATGAATAAGGCAGTCTCTGGCTTCAAGAAGCTCATTGTTGATTTGTTTATTATTTTATCAGTACACCAGTAGTTATCCTATTATATTTTAATGAACATGCAAAGAGAACACAGAGAAAGGAGCAGCAAATTCTGTCAAGTGCAACTTTTGGGTGAGGCAACAGGACCCAGAAAGCAACTGTTTGGGAAAGAGGTGGAAGGGGCTGGGACCTGGGCAAATTCCTTTCTCCAGAGCAAACACCATAGATGAAATGATCATTCAAGTGGGTATTAAAGAATGATAGAAGTTCACCAAGCACATACGTAGATACATGGAGGAGCTAGATAGAAAGTTAAGTAGATATGACAAGGTGGACATGCCATGAACATTAACACCTTTACTAACTCTGGAGAAGGAAATAGCAGTTGCTTCTTAGAGCTCTGTAGCATCTGTCTAGCTGTTTTCCTCTGGGTGCTGTTGATATAGCTAGCTGCACAGGAAATCAGAATTATTTCTGATTACTCTTTTTTCCCCTCTTTTTTTTTTTTTTTAACCACAAGGCAACAAGGACTGGATAATGGTATATAGAGCCACCCAGGCTGAGGAATGAAGAGCCATTTGCTGGGATAGCTTGACTCCTGTGGAACTTTAGTACCACTGTTCTCTAACTCCTTCTCTGCCTCTGTAGGGCTTCAAGTGTAGTTGATGGAGCTTTGGGAGGGAATTGGAATGGGGGCTACTGGGTCTGTCCCTAACAGAGCCTGCCTAATTCTGTCACAGTGAGTGCCACAACTCTTCTGACCGGATTAAGGTACGTGTGTGGGATGAGGATGATGACATCAAGTCGAGAGTAAAGCAGCGGCTAAAGCGAGAGTCTGATGATTTTCTTGGCCAAACCATCATCGAGGTTCGGACACTGAGTGGCGAGATGGATGTCTGGTACAACCTGGGTGAGGAAACAGCACCAGAGAAAGTTGGTGGGAAGGGAGAGAATGAATGAGGAACTTAGAGAAAATACTATCTACCAAAACTACCACTCAATTGCTAAAGCATACCTCTATGCAGAACCTGCTTTCCCTGTAGAGAACTGACCATGGGTAAAGATGGGGGACAGAGGAGTGGGTGTGACTTGAACTCGCTCTGGCTGGACATTCTCCAGATTTCAAGAATCCCTTTAATCTTCATACACATCTAGTGCCTTTAGTTCCATATTCTTCTAATGGAATAGGAGGGTTCCTATTGGGAATATTTGGGGTGTTTGTGGACTATATGGTCACTCGAGTGAGTTCACCCTGTTAGGTGAACCCTGGGGTTAGTGCCCCCTTTTCATTGGGTTAAACCAGAGTGGTAACTGTCCACACTCTCTGTAGTTGCATTGGTGTCAATTTCCATCTTCTTTCCTTCCTAGAGAAGAGGACAGATAAATCAGCCGTCTCAGGGGCTATTCGACTACAAATCAATGTGGAAATCAAGGGTGAGGAGAAGGTTGCCCCGTATCATGTGCAGTACACGTGTCTCCATGAGGTGAGCCAGCCCTTGGTAGATGGGGTGCTAGAAAGCAATGCTGGGAGGGGCCTTTGATAATGAATAGGATTGCTAGATGGTTGAAGATTTGGAGCCTGTTTTTTATTTTATCCTTGGCTTACTGTGCTACTTAGACAGCCCAGGTAACAGTCCCAGCCTCAGTTCTCTTTCACTAACAGCCTACTAGGGCCACAGGAGGAGCTGAGCGATGACTTGAAGGACAGAATTTCTGAGAAACCCTGGACCTTACCACCAGCTTTTTTTTAACTATATATTTAACTCCTTCCTTTGCTCTGTCTTCTGCAGAACCTTTTCCATTACCTCACAGACATTCAGGGCAATGGAGGAGTCCAGATCCCTGAGGCCCGAGGAGACGATGCCTGGAAGGTGTACTTTGATGAGACTGCCCAAGAAATTGTGGATGAATTTGCTATGCGCTATGGCATCGAATCCATATATCAGGCCATGACGTGAGACTCTCCTGGGGTTTTGGGATGTGGCTACTAACCTTTGGGGTGGCTAATGAAGGCACACTGCTAGGGTAGACAGTTCCTTAGCAGGGTAATATGCAGTGATTCATTGCTTCCCTCTCTGAGCTAAGTCAGGTATGTGTACACCCCAAGGCAAAGAGGGTATATGTATAAAGGGAGTGTGTTTATCAATGACTCAGGAAGAAGGGCATGTGTGCTCATCTATATGTGTGGGACAGACCAGCTTTCTTAGATTGGTGTGGATGTTGGAAAGGGCACCGAACTGTACTCCCTGCTTTAACCCCATACTCAAATAATTTACCATATCTACCTAAAAGCAGCTGGAGTTGACCAGGACTCCTCCTATAATAGAATTCCCGTCTACTGTGAGAAGTACAGTTTGTCTATTGGTGAGGCTGCCCAGGAAGCAGCCCTCGGTAAGCAGAGGGCAACTGTTGCCCTGGCTGTGCTCATTTATTCTGAAATTTGTATTGAGTTCCTTCTATGTGCCACACATTGTGCTAGGTGCTGAGAACACAAAGATGAGTAAGATGGGGCCTCTGTGCTTGGGGAACGTATTCCAGCAGGAGACATGGACCAGTAAACAAGCAATTACAATACAGTGTGATAAGTGCTGTGATAAAAGTAATCCCAGGGTATTATGAGAGCATCTGCATTTTAGGGGAGGCCTGTGAAGGAAGCCACTAAAGAGTTGACACTTGAACTAAATCTTGAAATACAGAAAAGGAGGGAGGGCACTTTTGGTAGGGCATTTACTGGGATACTCATATACTACAGAGCAAAGGACATTCAAGGAATTACAAGAAGTTCAGTATATAGACGAAGGGAAGAAATATGGTGAGCAATGAGGTTTAAGAATGGTCCTCTGACATACTTGTCTGTTCGCTCTCCCTAGATGATCTTATCCCAACCTGTGACCTCAACCATTACTTTTAGGATCAGGATTCTCAGGTCACTTTCTCCAGATGAGGCCTTTTCCTGAATTTCAGATCCATTTTCAGCTGCTTCCTGGGTATTCATTCCCATAGGCATTGTAAATCCAGCCTGCCTACATTTCAAATCAACACTGTCTTCACCCAATATGCTTATCTTCGTATATTCTCTATTTGAGTAAATGGTATGATTTTCTATGCAGTTGTCCAAAAAAATTTAGGAGTCAGCCTAAACTTTTCTTTTTTACTTGCTACTATATCTTTAACTCCCAACATCCTCTAGTTTCTATCTCCTAAAAATGTTTTTAATCTATCACTATTACTATAGCTCAACAATAATGATAATAGTAACAACTTGTATGTAGTATTTCCTTATGTGTCAGGCACTGGTCTAAGCATATTATAAATGTGAACTTATTTAATACTCATATCAACCCTATGAGGTAGGTATCATTATTAACCATTTTACAGATAAGAAAACTGAGACATAGAGAATTTTAAGTAATTTATCCAAGGAGAGTGAATGGTGGGGGTAAGATTCAAACCCACAGTCTGACTCTAGACATAGAGTTTGTGCTCTTAACCTTTTTTCTGTTCTATTTAGTGCTTTAGTGCTTCTTTTCTGAATTATTGCAGTAACTTTCCAAGTGATCTTTCTGTCTTATTCTTATCTTTATCCTAGTCTTTTCTTTCCAATTTATCATCAAAGGGACCTTTCTGAAACACTAATCCGATCACACTATACTTTTGTTTAAAAATTTACTTTAGTATTTAGGATAAACTCTTTTATTGTCTATTCTCTACCTACTTCTCTTGCATTTCTTGGTATTCCTCTATCAGACACCTTAACAATAGCCAAACTGTTGTTTCCCAAATAAATCACTCTTTCATGAATATATTTGTTTTTTGTATGCAATTTCCCTTTGTGTATACATTTCTTCATTTGATTAATTCTTACTAATCCTTTAAGACTTGTTTCAACCATCTCTTCTTTGGGAAGCCTTTTTCTAATCCTTCCAGTCCCGAACCATTCTGATTTAGGTGATTTTTCCTGTATATTTCTATGGTGTTTCTGCATAGCACACCTTGAATTATTGACTTACTTTCTAATACTTTCTCTGCCTGGCTATCTCATCTTTGTGGGCTTTTAAAAACTTTATCCCAGGATATGTTTATTTT